CTGAACCTCCCCGTGCCCGCTACAGCAATTGCTCAAGTATTGTTTTTCTAGACAAGCATTATTTGATACCATTTTAGCCTCTTTAATCACTAAAAGTGAGGAAAAGATCCAGCACCATGTCAAATCCCAGTTTCCGTGGCCCAGTGGAGATGTTCTGTGGGTCACCTACGGGAACAGCTGTTGGCCCGTTGTTACCACGTCAGGTCCTAAAACAACACAGCGCTCATGGCAGTCTGCAGAACACGAGCTCTGAAGAGCAGCATTACAGAGAAACACCCTTCCCTCTACAGTGGACTCAAAATCCAAGGGGAAGTCTGTTTCAGAGGAACATCCAGCTGCAAAACATCAGCGGCTTAAGACGCTAATACCATTAGATTCCCTCTTCCTTGCTTGTCACCACAGTGTAACTTTTCAGTCCATTACCTTCTGCCTTGGCCTCATTCTGGCAAACTCCTTTTAGCCCACAGAAGCAGTGCGTTTAATAACTTCTCTCTCAGAAAGCAGCCAAACAAGAACACATGCTGCAGAACGAGTCTCCTACCCTCGTTTCCCAAAACCCGCAGGTCTGAACCTGTGGAAAGATTGCCTTGTTATACAACCCAGCTGCACGGGAGGCTGCAAACCTCTCGCAAACCAGACCAGCAGTTAAGTAACCCACGTTCCCCGCAGCTCAGGCTGGGGCGAGCGCGTCCGTGCGCAGCCAGGCTGTAAAGCAATGTAATCCCCTTGCTGGACTCGACAGGGAAACGGCTCGGAGAGGGCTCAAACCAGCAGCGTGCTGAGGTAAGCAGCTGCTTTCATCACTTGTGTGGATCCCGGCTAGCAGCGCAGCCCACTCCGCTCTGTTGTGCTTTGTAGGCATTTGATGGATCGATGTTTCTCAGTTCCAGCACACGGACTTCTAGTAAAATGGCTTTTATTACCACACACGCACTTGGGTGATGCTCATACTTCTTTAACTCTGAACTTCCAGTGAGCAGTTGTGAGGTTTCTTCCCTGTTGAAACTGCAGGTTTCCGAGAGGTGCATGCCAGCGAAACACGTAACTCCAGCTCAGCCGAGGCTTTGCTTGGGTTGCAGTTGTGGGGACACGTGGGCGCTTCTCTGCATCTTGTAGCCCAGCTAGTGTCCTAGAGTTGTCACGCACAACAGAAACACAGTAAAGAAAAGGTATTCCATAATGCTGGGAACGTAAGGGTGAGTCCTGTCAGTTTTGTCCCAGCTGGAGCAGTGAACCCTGACTCCCGTTGTTTAAGTAGGAGCTGGAAGCATTGGCTGTGCTGCCAGACAGCGGGCTGCTCAGCCCTCTGTTTTACAACATGTTGCTCATTTCTGGGAGATTTTGCCAGTAACAAAATTATCAAATCCGGATGCCTCATTTGCTGAAGACCTAGCTTTCTCCATCTAAGCGCCTCACACTGACCTTAATACTAATCCTATAGAATCCAAGGGGATTTGGGCCACGTCACTAAATATGCTTTGCTACAGGCTGTTGCTTCTGGCTTGTGCAGGCTGCCTGTGCCTTGTACCCTAATTAGCTTCTTTCCCATTTCTTTTTAACTCCCTCTCTCTTATGGTAAAAGGCTAAACTGACTTCCAGAGGCAAAGTTGCTTTTTTCCAAGGTACAAGTTTACGTTGTCCTGCCATATGGCCTGCACGTGCTGGTGTGCATTCCGGGCACGAGCAAAGGGAAGCCTAGAGAGGGGCCCTGTGTTTACGTCGCTAGGAAAGGTAAATGCCCTTTGGGGAGCGGGGATAAGAAGGAGAGGCCTTTCTTTAACCGAAAAGCTGTTCAGCATAAGCCATATTCTAATTCTGCGACTAAACGAAAAGCGAAACTCGTCACTGAGCAGAACTAATCTCTCTTTCAAGTAAGCCATTTCATGGGGCTTGCGCTTCACTCAAAGACAGCCAGAGGAGCCAAGGGGAGGCGTCTGTTGTGCTGAAAGCGTGACCACCTCGCCAGTCCGGATCCCCGTTCTCTCAACACTCAAGCGCTAGGAGTCACCTCGGTTTTTGCGGTAACTCAGTCGGGTTACGGCGGGGACGCGTCCGAACTCATTTAACCGTTTACTACGTGGCAACACGAGTGAGATTCAGTCCGAGATGAAGGCTCCCACCTTGGCACGCCTGCTTGTGAGCCCGCTTTCTGAGGAGCTGGAGTCAGTGGAGCCCAGAGAACAGCTCACCTCCCCTGCAGCTCAAGGAGACGCCTGCTGGGCAGGAGTCTCTGAGCTCGCTTGAAAAATATTTGCACTGAAATACAGGATAAGATGAGACACTGCATAGATACAGGTTGTTTAAAATGTTTAAGTTTTTTAAAAAGCTTTATTCCAAACAGCTGATTAAGCCGTCGAGGGTTTAAATCAGATTATTCAATGCTTTCACACGGTTCTAAATAGGAAATGCGTAGGTCAGAAGCCTGCTTGTGCCTGTGGGGAAGTAACTGCGTTGCGCACTCCCGACAGGGTGGCCAGGATGTGCAACGAGAGCGGAAAAACCCCACTGAATCAATGCACTAAGATAGATGTGCACAGAGACCAGCCCCAGACCAAAGATACAGGGTTACACAAGGTATTTGGCCAACTCTTAAAAAAAAAAAAAAAAAGACGTGAAGACATGTTTTTTTAAAATTTTTTCAATTAATTTTTAGTTATTTCAATAACTAAAAATAACAGATAAAATGCATTCAAACATTCCATTTCTAGCAATAGTTGAATTATGCTTGGATAAATTAGATTCTGCTTTAGCAGAGTATTAAGTATTTTGTAACAGGTCTACATTTTATGGCAGCCTGCATTTACCCATGCCGTGTCTGACCAAGAGGGAATTCCACATTTGACAGACTGCAAGTGAGGACCACAAAACCGAAATTTAACTCAGATCCTTTATTAGATATATGTGCAGCTACTTGGATTGAGAAGCCCAAGAAGCGCACGAGAGTTGTCACAGTGGTAAGGAAAGCCCCCTTGCAATCAGCCATCTGCACACAGACATTCCTCTCCTTGAACTTACACGTGTTAATCGTGATTCGGGCACCCAAAGCCCAGTGCCACACGCTGCTTGAAGAACAGAGCAAATATTTAATGAACTGAGAATGTTACGGTTTTTTATGTTAGCAGCGCAGCTTGTCTATTTTTAACCAACCTTTTCTTTAGATAAGGCCTTGATCATCTGAGCTGTGATGCGCCTGTCTGATTTACCACTAATGCCATCTTCCGCGTGGCTTCCGCCTGGCATTTCTTCTGGCTGTTTATGAATAGGCATGGCTCTTCCAACCACACACATTAGCTTTGTCTCCAGAGGACCCAGTTTTAAGTATTCCTTAAGAAGAAAGAATATTACTCATCTGCAATTCCATAGAAAAGCAGCCGTTCTTCAAAAAACCAGCAACTTTCCTTTTAAAAGCAACTGTAAAGATGCTGCCCAGGGGTTGCTGTGTTTGGTAATGCCAGTGTTAATGGGCTTAGTTTACAAGCCAGCTCATCGGAGGAGGCTGCAGCCCCTTCTTTTCCTGTGTGTTTTCACCAATAACGCTTTCTCTGCAAACCAAATTCTGCTCCCAAGTTCAGTTCTGTGAGAAGAATTAAACGAATCCAACTGCTCGCTGCTGCCAAAGGAGAGAGATCTGAGTCCAGCCATGTGCTTCCATCACGTCTGTGCTGGCTCTGGTCTTCTCCAAACCTCTGAGTCAATTCGGTTGACTAACCCAACAGAAAACGAACTCAGGACGATTAAAAAGGCAAGCTTTTCTGCTGGGTTAGCAAGTGAATCAGCTACAGAAAAGGACAATGTGCACTACAGGTTCCTTAGGGGCAGGAGCAGGACCATACAGGCAAGGCCAGGGAGAGGGAAGAAGGAACCCTACACTGCAAGCTCTTGAATCACCTCTATTTAATAAACGCTTTCAAAATAATTGCTAATGCAACTCCACCCTTTGCAATTACACCTTTGTTGTAATAAAGTACAAGCATGTCAGCAGCACCTACATCCCTCAGCGGGGTGGGCTCTGCAGCGCTAACAGCAGGAAGAAAGAAGTAAAGCTAGTGGTCCTCTTCCAAGGCAACAACTGCAAACACTTGGATGGATTTTTTTTGTTAGATGTTAAATGTTTTGTTAGCTTTTCTATGTAATGACTCTTCAGGACACAGCCGCTCCCTAAGTTAGTCTCTGATCAAGGCAACAGGATGATTCCTCTGAACACAAGTTGCAGGGTATTAATCAAACTAATGCCAAATTTCTAGAAAAAGAATTGTTGGTGGTGTGTTGTTGGTTTTTTTAAACCATTATTGAGTGTGTTTGAATAGAATATTCAGTAGTAAAGAAATATTATGGAGAAGTATCTTTACACAGCAAGCCCTGCAGTCTGCACCATGTCTGCATCATCTCGTTTAATTTGCAGTAGAAATCAATGATGTAATGTATTTTCCGAGAGCAATTAGTTTATTTACAAATGTATTAAAGTCCTCCTAACTCAAGAGTGTAGTATTAAATAGCACCCAGGAAACATCTTTTCGCAACGTAGGGTCAAAGACCTCCTGGAGCAGGTGCCACCACCTCTTTTGAGAACCACACAAACTCTGTCTATTTACATATAGCCTGTACCTTTTTGTTTTCTCAACCCCTGTATTTTTCACCCAGGAACACCTTCACCCTGGCCTTCCGTTGCAGGATTAAATGACTTGTTGATCCTTGAATGCTACTATGCAACCTAAGTTCTAAAAGGACCAGCATCCAAGCAAACAAGAATCTGTGCAATACCATAGCAAACCGTCACTTGGTGACATTCAGAATTCCTTCGGGGGGGAATTTCATCCTGTCACTCACATATGCTGATTCCTAGGACACCATTCAATTGCCAAAACAAGGTGTCTTGTGCTATCAGAAATGCCCTAGGGCATCCAAACCATCCATGTGAAGCTGGCCTGTAGGACACAGAACCTGGGCTCTTTTGGCCCAGCATCTGAAGGACAGGGAGTGTCCTAACCATCTCAGACAGCACCAGATGCCTACGATTAAGCATCTGAATTGTACGCTAGGTAAAAGACATTGGAGTTTTTTCTGCCGTAGTACCACTGGGAATAGAACGCTCCTGGCAGTAGCTCATGCTCCACACTGAAATAGGTTTGTGTCAATGAAAGACCCAATTACTTTAACTCATACCTGGAAATCTTTTTCATCTTTGTGCAACGAGCCATCAAGAGTTGGAGTGAGTGACTTTTCCCACAGCTTCTCATCACTGTCTTTCTCCGTGTTAGACCGAAACTTTTCTTTCTGACAGGGGACTGTGGCACGTCTGAGGCTTTCATCTCCATCTGTCTTTGCTTTTTAAAGAGAAGAACAATGATGTGTATGCAATCGTTAAGCTTTATGAAGATCAGAATTAGTACTTGGTATGAGCATTGCCTGCAATCTTTAATGTGGCTTGGCCAGTGTGATGTAAAGAACAGCTTGGTAGGATTTTTAATTGGCAATCAAGCCAAATGTTGATTTTGCTCAGTGATTTTTCTATGCTTATTTCTGTTCTCAATTTCTGATCAAGATCAGGGACTGAAATTGATTGGAAGTTAGAAGTAATAGGTCTGTGGGATGGGGCAGGGGAAAAAATGAGCTTTTATCCGTTCAACTTCAATCATATATGGCCCTGAATAGCTAAAAAAATAGGAAAGGCAGCAAAAACAATTATAAACTTTTTGTATATCCATATCTGTATCTCTATATGTACGTATACACAAGTTCCTGAAACACAGCTGGGCTACTTATAACTCCCCTGAAGAGCTCACATTTGCAGTTGACCAATTCTCAGGACGATAGAGAATTCTGGACATGGACTACCAAGTTGTATGTTTGCCTGGGACAGTGACTTGACCCTCAGCTTATTGGAGCAAAACCTACTCCTCCCAGTAACTATTGTAAGGGTCTAGCAAAGGTAATAGAGCTGAACTGTTCAAAATAAACATATATCTAATTCAGAAGTCTTAATCAACATGTTTGCTGGTGCCTGATGGTTCCAGAAAGGCCCACCTGTGGCTGGCAGTGATCAGAACTTGTTCACGTCAACAGACTTGTGTGGCTTGAATTCTTGCAACTTACCTCTTTGATTTAATTTTGTCCTCCCCCCTTTCTTTTACTCACACAAAGATGTAAAATAAAACGTGTGATACTAAGAAATCCATAGAAACCACCCTAAACGGATAAGCACACTCACATGGTCCTTCCTGCCTAATGGTATATCCTTTTCCTGGGCACGCCTACCAGAACAGATGGAGATTGGGTACCGCTTACCAAGATTTTCAGGTCAGGCTGAGATCCATGCAGCTTCATCTGCTCTCGCTAGGGATTCATTTAGCATTAACTCTGGTGTAGCTCTATGAGCTGAATGACTGTAAAGTGCATGTACACTTCAAGTGAAAGCCAGTGTAGAGTTCAAGAGTGTCCTCTCAGGGACAAGATAATAATGAAGTTATGTTGATATGGATCAGTAAATAACTGATTAAGGTATGAATCATATCTTCCCAGAAAGCCAACCGTATCCTGGGCTGCATCAAAACCAGCGTGGCCAGCAGGGCGAGGGAGGGGATTCTGCCCCTCTGCTCTGCTCTGGTGAGGCCCCCCTGGAGCCCTGCGTCCAGCTCTGGGGTCCTCAGCACAGGAAGGACATGGACCTGTTGGAGCGGGGCCAGAGGAGGGGCACAAAAGTCATCAGAGGGATGGAGCACCTCTGCTATGAGGAAAGGCTGAGAGAGCTGGGGCTGTTCAGCCTGGAGAAAAGAAGGCTGTGGGGAGACCTTATTGTGGCCTTTCAATACTTAAAGGGGGCTTATAAGAAAGATGAGGACAGACTTTTTAGCAGGGCCTGTTGCGGTAGGACAAGGGGTAATGGTTTTAAACTAAAAGAGGGGAGATTCAGACTGGATATAAGGAAGAAATTTTTCACGATGAGGGTGGTGAAACCCTGGCACAGGTTGCCCAGAGAGGTGGGAGATGCCCCATCCCTGGAAACATTCAAGGCCAGGCTGGATGGGGCTCTGAGCAACCTGATCTAGTTGTAGGTGTCCCTGCCCATTGCAGGGGGGATGGACTGGATGGCCTTTAAAGGTCCCTTCCATCCCAAAGCATTCTATGGTTCTATGATTCATAAAAGATGGCCGATCCTATTAACCATATTCCAGGCTGGCTCTATATGAGTAATTACATCCAACATTCTAAACACCAATTTCAATTTTAAAACTGTATTACAGGTAGATTGTGGTTTTGTCTTCTTAATGCAAACTACAGTCTATCATTGCTGTGGTGGCTGCAATTAAGTAGGAAATTAAGTGTTCACCATGTAAAACAGGCAGTTTGATAAAAAGCTTAAGAAATAAAAAGTACTTAAATGCTCAGTGACTTATCAGTTCTTATAAGCTGCTGGCATGTGCATTACCTGCATACTCTCTATACTCTACTTTCATTTCATCCTTAGGAAATTCATCTTGCAAGCCAGCTGCCTGGGTAAGAAACAAATGCCTATGAAATAAAAAAAAAATAAAGTGAAACTCATATTAGAGGTCTGAATTCTCTCTCTGAATTGTCCTGTGCAATCTTTTGGGGCGGGGGGGCACCCTTTCTGAAAGCCTTTTGCTGCTTAACCACAAATGCAGAATAGCGCAATGTTTTAAAAATGCAATGGAGGCAGCCAGGTAGCTTAGTGGCTAATACACTGCTCTTTTTTATTCTTAGTGCCTAAGTTCAACTATGTCCAGGAGACTAAAAGAAAACAAATGTTATAGTCTCCAGTCAGTCCAAGATTCAAACCACAGCTGGCAGCTCTCACTTAAAAGCAGTCCAAAGTTTGGAAAGGAGAGAAGAGAAAAACGGTCACTTCTTAAGACTTGGAACTTTTTTATGCAATATGGCTAAAATCACTGAGCTGGAACTGGAAAATGAAGACGGATCATTCCCATTGTTAGCCTGCGCTTTTGATACCATTAGTGTTGACATTTTGCAACTAAATTAATCTTTCTCTAGGGAACAAGTCAAATAATTTCAATACAAAAGAAACTAATACTACAGACACCTCTACAGACAGACCTATCCCAAGACCTCTTCCTTACTCACTACCAGGTCACCTGTTTCACTTGAGATTGCAAACCCCCATATAGTTGCATATTAATCTTCACATTCTTAAACATTTTGCCAACAGCAAAGGAAAAATCTATTACTCAGCACTTGGTCTGAGAAGCTGGGTCTGGGACAATGACAACAGAAAGAAACTATTTCCAAGCCCCAATGGTATCCCCACTAAAAGAAAGTGGGTGTTGCTAGGTCTTAATAGATTATTAAAGAACCCTGTTTCTTCCCTGAATTTTGGTATTTAGGAGGTTACAATGTCACTGTCATCCTTCAGAGATATAAGCCCCACACATACTCAGTCAAATCCTGCCTCCCCTCAACTAGGAAACAACCTTGGCTTTGTTGTGGGAGAGCCCAAATAGCTCTAGAGGCAGAAGGCATCTTTTAAAAAAAAATCAGTCACTTTTGAGTCTGCAGAGGCATCATTTTACCTGGGTACTCTCAGATTCTGAAGTCTGCTATCAATCAGTTTTGTCACTAAACAGATATTTTCTTCCTCCAGGAGCTGAATAGAGGCTTTCAAATCACTTACTTCCTTTTGGTACACCTTAACCTTTTGACAATTAAAAAAAAAAAAAAAAAGAATTTTTTGGAAAAAACCTACCCCTTTTTTGGAAACCTTTAAAAATAATTTTTTTA